GGCTTTCATGTCTGAAGCGCATGGTGAAAGGTAACAATCCTCATTATGAGAGATGGGGAGGAGCCAGGAGGATCTTACGAGGCTGTTTGGGCTCCACTCCCATGAATGAATTGATCAGTTAGTGAAATTATTGATCAGTAAATCCTAACTTACCTGCAGGCTGGATCTCTTCTGAGTTCTATATCCTAGCCTGCTGTACCTTCTTCAACTCATTTGTGACTTTGCTTATAAGAAGGCAACTTCTAAGTCTATCAGCTTTGGAACAGAATAAGCCCTGTTTCTATAAATGATCCTTTCTGTGATAGCATGTATATAGAGAAAATGGTCTATAATGCACTGAAGCTTGCCTACTGCCAAACTCGGTTCAGGAACGTCACCCTAGCTCTAGGTAACCAAGTGTCCATGCCTCTCTGAGAGCATAGGATTTTCTAGGAACATGAGCATTTCAGTGGTAGAACTAGAAACTCCAAGCAAACTGCTATGAGTCACTATCCCTTCTTAACACAATCAAGGAAGCAATACCACTCCCCAATGCTTAGCACCATATTTCTGGGCTTTTGGCCATAAATGGTGAAAATTGACACTCCATCCCCTTTTCCCTAACTAGTCTCACCCCTGCGCATTAAAATGGGCTTAGATGGGATTGCTCAAGGATGTGACCCTGACTTCCATCTAAGCAGTACAGATGGTAATGGATACTCAGATGTTTAATGAGCATCTTCTCAAAAGAAAGAGTATAAAGTGGCAACTGCCCTTGCCTCATTCTGTTCCATGGATCTTTCTGTGCAGTCTAGATCCCTGAGGAGCCCTCTTGCCCAGAACTTGTATATATGCCCATTTCAACCTAAGGTAGAGTCTACAACAGTGGGTTCTGTTCTAACAATGCTTGTTCCTACAGAAAACAAATCACAAGAGAAGTGAGTTGGGGGTGCTCCTGGAGGAGTCAACCAACAAGGCCAGTGGGAAGAACTTGTGAATCTGTTGTTTCCTTAGCAAGCACTGAACCTTGCTTGCAGTGCACTTTTGTAATTATTATTTGAAATTTTACTTGATTTGTGTCATTATCTGAGCAGAATATCTTTCCTTTCTCAAATGCATCTTTTGAGACGTTCTGATCTGAAGTGGAGTCCCAAGTACCTTGGTTTGTGCCCCCAAAGGACAACTTTCTGTCATGATACTTGTTTCCTCTACTTTCTGAACACTCCCATCAGCGTCAAATCACACTCAGGTGGTTTGATGTGATGGATCTTGTTCTAGGAAGTTCTGCTTCTACAGAGCATAAGAGGCCCACATGACACCATCCCTGTTCTCAACTCTATAAACATATTAGAAAGAATGAAAGAAAGGGAGAAGTTATAGCAGAAAAAGCTGTGACCAAGGAGCAGTGTTAGAATGAGCAACCCGTTTTACTCTGAGTGCATTGCTCCCCAGCCTGAGGTTTCAGCCTGTGTGGAGCAGAGCATATGTCTGCCCTCCATACAGACCTGTACAGCAATCCTGTGCTAAACACTGATGTTTGGCCTGCCTCAGGGCTGGTATGTAGTCCCCAGCTACTACTTAGCCACTCGATGGGGAGGAGCTACCCCTGGCGTCATCCAACTCTTCTTCCACAGTTACATAAAAGGAAAATAAGAAAAAATTGTGCCAACAAAAATATCTTTAATAAAGTAAAGGAAACTGTTGAGTGGTTTTGTTTTTGTTGTTTTTTTTTCTGCTACTATTGTTTTATCAGATAACAAATCTAGCTAGTCTGATAGTATAGGCACATATATACACTCTGATGGATTTAGTCAAATTTGTAGATTAAAATAGAAGCTGACCTATGTCTTACTTACCCAATATTTAGGTATTTGGCAAAGCTGTGTTCTGGATACTGATGAACATCTAAGCCTTTCAGCTTTTGTTTTCAGTTTCTGAGGCTGATGGCAATAACCACCTTATCCAAGTTAACAACTGAGATGCCCAGATTCATTTGTTCCTCTACAAGTTTTCTGACACTATTACCTGTCTGTTTCTGTATAACGACTTTCTTGATGACACTGGATCTAGCTGGACCATCCGGAATGACCACGACATGTCCACATCCCATTCCACTTCGGCATCACATCAACAGGAATATGGTAGAGATAGACAGGCCCAGGAACAGCCACCAGGTCTTCTCTAGTTGACTTAGCAAGGCAGAGCACAAAGCAAAGCAGAGAGGACTTGCAGACACACTGATGAGCGAAACAGCGTCTGCCTAGAACATCTCTTCAAAATCCCTAGAGCCTGTGATCACACAGCCCGTGACAAGCAGTCAATATTTGGAATGCTGTATGTGAGCCTCAATGCTGACCAACGAGGATGCCTGTATGTACAAGCTGTGACAATCCTTGTTGTGGCTTTTCTAACTCTGGAAAAGTAAAGCTTGGCCTATCTTCGGGGTTTACCCAGTCAAAACAGTTTGTTTCATAATAAATCTGAAAGACTGAGCCTATGACTTTGTGAACAATTTCTCCTTGGAGCTTACTAAAATAACAAGACAGAAGATTTTTGAAATTATTTTTATTTTACGTTATGCATCAGGTGCTTTTCCTGTATGTGTGTATCTGTGCATCTATGGTGTCCTCAGAGGGCAGAAGGGAGGTGGATTTCCTGTAACTGCAGTTGCAGAAGATTGTGAGCCACCTTGTAGGGCTGATGGCAGGTCCTCTGGAAGAGCAGCCTGTGATTTTGACCACTGAACCATTATCTCTCCTCCCAATACAGCAGGTTTTAAAATGATACAAAAAGAGAGAGCTTTCAAGGTCACAGGTTCTAGAAATTGTTGACTTGATTTTGACAGGTTGGATACCAATGGACAAATGGGGAATGACCTAGGTGGTGGAAAAGTACAAAATCTACTGCCCTTTAGCAATAGCGGTCTGATTTATGCATACATTGGAAAGAGTTTCAGTTGGCACTGTCAGGGCTACTGGCCCTAGCTGTCAATAGGACATATCGTCCCAGCCTTTTCTTGTTGTTTATTTGTTATTATGTGGTCTTTGACCTAACTTCTTGATACTAGAAATCCTGTTATAGTTTGAGTGATAGGAGGACAGCCATGGGCCAGCACACTCAGCTTCCATGCTGCATAAGGAGCACTTTGCTCTTCCCCAACCTATAAAATCTGGAAAATGGGCCTTGCATTTGTGGTAGGCAATAGAACATTTATCTCTAGGATGGATCTACAGACAGATGTGAATCTCAAAGCGAATAGTCATGCAGGTGTCTGGATTGAGAGCCCTGGATGAAATATGGAACCAAAATTCAAAATCGTTATCGATTCTTTGGGAATCACCCTCTATCCAGCACACCTTCCAGTCCCTTATTATCTACTCTTCACCCCTGCAGTGTCAATTCCCAAAAGAAACCCCCACAAAATATTTAAAAACAATACAAAGAAAACTACCACCTCACTCCCCTGCCTCTTGAACACTGCTTCACTTGTCCTGGTGACCTTGGGACTTGCAAAGTGTCTCACACTGCACCCTTTTGTTAAGTCAGGCCTGCCCACAAATGTTTGTTATAATGAGTCATTTGTCTGGACCAATCAAAGAACTCTTTTTTTGTTTTCTTTTATTACCACTAGAGTGCAGCAGCTGAAAAAGATCACCACCACTCTGGAGCCGTTGCTTTCTCTAGTTATGCTTGTAGAATGCTTACATCCTGGTTACACTGTCTGTTCTATAATAAATCTATGCATTTCAGTCTTTGGTTTGGGAAACATCACTGGAAGTATTCTAAAAGTGGGAAAGACCTCCACTTTCCGCTTTTGATGGTGTATTCATTCATTGAGTTTGTTTGCTTGAATTTTTTAGAGGATTTCACACATGAGCAATATGTTTCCATCATTTATACCGTTCTTTCTCTTCCTTTGAATTCCTTTTGTGTACCCCCAACTCACTTTCAATGTATGACCTCTTCTTCTTTTAACTACTGGTATATGTGGTGGGTGTACGTGGGGTGTGTGTGTGGATGTGTGGGTGTGTCTGTGTGTGTTGGTGTGTGTGAACTGCTGGCTTTAGTGTTGCTCATATGTACATATGGTTAGGGCTTGCCACTTGAGAATTATCTAACCTATTAAGGCTCACCATGGAGGGGATTTAGCAGCCATTGATTTCCTATAACTCTTCATCTAAAGGTGAGATCTGGAGTGATTTGGCCATCCACACTTGCACATCAATGGCATCCTTGTTGTTCAGATCTTGGTTGGACGGCCACATTGTTAAGATGTCATAGATGCAACATCCTTTGTCATATACAGAAGATGCTAGCTCACAAAAGACACCGTCATCCTCTAACTTTTACCATTCTCTGCCCCCTTTCCACAATGTCCCCTGAGATGTGTAAGGGATGCATTGTAGTGGGGTTGGACACTCTGTAGTCAGTTGTACAACTAATGCAGAAAGTAGAGAAAAATTATAAGCTCTCTAGACGTTGACTGGCAGGTGGGAGCTTCCGATGGTCTTGGATAACTTCTTTTTTTTTTTTATTGAGAAAAGGAGAAAATAAAAAACAAGTTTCCACCTCCTCCCAGCCTCCCATTTCCCTCCCCCTCCTCCCACCCTTCTCCCCCTCCTCCCACCCTTCTCCCTTTCCCCCCACTCCTTTCCCCCTCCCTCTCCAGTCCAAAGAGCTGTCAGGGTTTTCTGCCCTGTGGTAAGTCCTAGGTCCTCCCCTCTCCGTCCATATCTAGGAAGGTGAACATCCAAACTGGCTAGGCTCCCACCAAGCCAGCACATTAAGCAGGATCAAAACCCCGTGCCATTGTCCTTTGCGTCTCATCAGCCCTCATTGTTCGCCATGTTCAGAGAGTCCAGTTTTTTCCCATGCTTTTTCAGTCACGTGTCCAGCTGGCCTTGGTGAGCTCCCAATAGATCAGCTCCACTGTCTCAGTGGGTGGGTGCACCCCTCGTGGTCCCGACTTCTTTGCTCATGTTCTCCCTCCTTCTGCTCCTCATTGGGACCTTGGGAGCTCAGTCCAGTGCTCCAGTGTGGGTCTCTGTCTCTATCTCCATCCATCACCAGATGAAGGTTCTATGGTGATATGCAAGATATTCGTCAGTATTAATATAGGATAGGGTCATTTCAGGTTCCCTATCCTCAGCTGCCCAAGGAACTAACTGGGGACACTTTCAGGGAAGGTAGTACATGTCAGTGTATGATGACAAAAGGAAGAGACTCAATAACCCAGGACAGAAAAAGAATAAAATTATTACAGAATCCAGAGGGAGAGAAAGACACAGCCAAATACCAACATGTCTTCTTCGTAGCTTGATAGTTTTATTCCCTATGAAACACTATAAGCACCAAGCACACACCTTTAATCCCAGCACTCAGTAGACAGAGGCAGGTGGATTTCTGTGAGTTCAAATACAGCGTAGCCCGTCAAGCCTACATAGTGTGTCCTTACCTCACAAAAAAAAGAAGAAAGAAAAAAGAGAAAAAGAAGGAAGGAAGAAATGAAGGAAGATCAGAAAGATATATCATAAGCTGCAATGACCTCTGACTTAGCTTCATTAATAATGGGAATGTGGTTTTTTTTATATTTATAGAGTTTGTGCTTCTTTTTAACTCTTACTTTGTACAAGTCAATCCTTATGTGACCATAGCTTTTCCTCTAAGGAAATATATTTTAGGGTTTCAAAGAGACTGTTAATTTCCAACTCCTTCTGGAATTTGTCACCAGACTCTGCAGAGAATGGTGATGGAGGAGCTCCACCCAGAAAGCTCTGTCCTGGCATGAAACATAATTGCTCTTCTTATTATTTCTACTAGTGGTTTCTGTTTGTTTTAAATCATGGGTTATTCCAGGCCCAGGGTCATAATACATTAATTTTTCTTTTGCATATAGAAGGAATAATATGTCTAATTCTTTTTAATCATAAATACAGATTGGAGTCACACAAAGGTATTTTATATTTGAATATATGTATACATTTTTCACCATGAAAATATATATACCCACTGCATGACACATATTTTTAAAGACATTTTACATTAAATGTATGTATTTGTGCCTGAGTGTAACATATTCAGGCTTATGTAGTTACCTAAAGTCAGAACATGGTGTCAGATCTGCTTGAACTGGACTAATAGGTGGTTGGTTGTGAGTTACTTAAGGTAAGTTCTGGGAACTGAACTCTGGTCTTCTGGAAGAACAGCAAGAAGTCCACTGAGCCTTCTTCCCAACCCTGGGAATGTGTATTTATTTAACGTTTTCTGCTTACATTTCTTTATTTAGGTAGATGCTAGAGAAATCCAAGGAGATTCTGCATTAGCCCCCTAAACACAACAGCATGGTTGTGCTCTGCACATGGAGCCCAAAGTGAATTATTTCTTCTATTTCTATGACTCAAGAAATTGTATAATGATAATTTATTTAAAAAGACTCTGAGGATAACGCAGCAAAGTAAAATTAAATAAAGCTGGACTGAAAACTGTCCACTTAAAAACCCTTGATAAGAACAGAGTCAGCCTGAATCCTGGAGCTTGCTTGGCCTAGACTGGAAAGCCCTCTGGGGTTATTACATTGAACATTTACTTAAGCATCCAGAGGCAAATTAAGCCGTGCTGTCAGAAACTGAAGCATATTTCTCTCATCGAGAATTTATACTTTATGCTTTTCTCACTGAACTCATGAGTTCACCACGACCAAGCCAAGCGTGGAGTTAAAGTAGAGCTGAACACTGACAACAGACAAGTGTTCCATTTGAGAAGCTTGGAGAACTGATAATGCTGACGTGCGATATCAACACCACTAGGAACAATTTATATATGACTTTCAGTATGATTCGTGCGTGTTACCTATAATACACACACATACACACAAATGTTCCATTTGAGAGACTTGGAGAACTGATAATGCTGACTTGTGATATCAACACCTCTAGGAACAGCTTATATATGACTATCAATATGATTCATGCATGTTACCTATAATATATACACACATACATATCACTGCATACATACATGCATAAATAAATGGGTGTGCAGTGATCTGGGAGGAAACACAATTTACAAGGGCATCACCATTTAATCTGCTCTACAGTCAGTTTTAGCCATCCCGCCCCTGTGTAAGGTCAGCTGACATTTCTAAAACTCAGTACAGCAGAATTTCCTTTGTATTCAAATGAGAGAATCTCAAGCAGTCAATTGGTTATAGCAGAAAATTAGTAATCAGTGATGATTGCAAACACATTGGCCACGAGAGAGACTCTATTTTGTAACTGCAAATTTAATTTTAACAGATAAAAACAGAGAAAAGGGTAAGAAAAGAAGAAAGAAAAAAGAAGCAGTAGTGTAAATTACATAATTAAAGGTTACAATTGTTTTCAATGTGTTAACATATCCTTCCACCAGAGGGCAACATTTGCAAGACATTTAAATAATCCTTCCAAGTATTTCCTCACATAAACAAATGTAAACCTGCCTGATTGTTGTGGGTATGCAAGGTATCCATGCATACAGTTATTTGAACAATCATATATGAAATGCCTATCTAATCCCAGATAAGCAGTAAGTCTCTATAAGAAGATAGAATTTTCAAAAAGAAACCTGCCTTTAAACATTGTTTTTGCCACCCTCTCCTTATATTATTATTAACCTTAAGCTTAAATGTTAAAAGACCTTAATACTAGCAGCAAATAAATGATTCCTATCCAAAAAAAAGCAGAAGCTGTGTTATTTTGCAAATAGAATACATAATAGAGATAACTTACTGAAAACCTTTCTTTAAACCCACAAGGGAAGGGAAATTTATTCATGCAAAGTCATTGAGCATCTTATGACAGCAATAAAATCTGAACCAACCCCAAGGCAACTGCTCTCAGCTGCCTCCTCCAGGCTGCTGGTGTTCAAAGTATGATCCAGAGAGAGATGAGTCCTGGACACTTGGTAAGCTTACCTCATCTAGGGCTCCACCTGATCTCCTGAATTATTTCTCTGTTTTAACAGGATCCCTGATCATGAGAGAGTACCCCAACTCATTCTGCTCCATTATCCTCATTACCAGGCACACAGTTTACTGTAATTTGTAGACCTCATTCTTCTCCTCTAGAAAATGGCAATAAAAAAAGTCTGTTCAGAGAATTGCCAGGGATGAATGAGGTCACCTGAGTGTGAACCATTCATAAACTGTAATCTGTTATGCACATGAGTTATATGAATGAAACCCTGTAGGGAAAGCTTCCTCAGAGAGAAAGCAGATGGTGGAAGAGAGGAGATGGTTAAATTTAGACAGCATTTATTTACAGGGAAAAGGAGAGTGTCCATAGATGTGAAGGCTTTTAAAACTATCTGTACATTGTATTCCTAAGGATCACCATATATTTGCCTGAAGATGAATCTAATGAATTCACTAGGACCCAAGGAGTTCCTGATCAGCATTTGGAATTTTGGACCACATAAAGAAGGCTGATGAAAATCTGTGGAGTTGCTAAAAAGGCACGCTATAGTGGGGCCAGCTACTCATGTGAGCAGAACCTGAGGATATCATTCAGTCTCTGGGAACTGAGCAGCAATTCTCGTAATTTTCTGTGCTCAGTACCTTCTCTTATTCATGGCTATGCTTTATCTCTCACCTGAAGGGAATCTTCTCCAAATATCACCAGCCCTCTTTATACAACTCCCTGGCCATGGGGGGCTGTCTTCATTTTCTAGGTTTGAATTTCTTTTTACATATTAGGACAGACAAGGGTGTTTTGCCTCCTAAAATGTTTCCTGTACACCTTTTCAAAGAATTATTTTATCATGTCTAATCTTATCCATAATTATTTCCAATGACATTTATGAGTATTTGCCACGTGACTTGTGAGATCTTTCAAGGGATGTTTCCAGGTCTGGTCCAATTCTCTGCTTTCAACAAACGTTTTTAGAATGAGTAAATCAATATTAGCTCTTATTTCAGTTCAGAGTATTGCTGGGAAAAGGAAGAAAAACGAGGTAGTATTTCTCAATGCCAATGAATGTAATTATTTACTCTAGAAGCAATGTCTTCATGCCAGAGGACTATTTCTTGGACTAGGTATGAATGATGCAGCCATATTGGGTTTTGGTGGATTCACCTCTAGTCACATGGGATGGACCTTGAAAAGGGTGCATAGGGGAATCACTTTTGCATCATCATCCCAGCTTCACAGATATTTAATATCACTTCCATCTTCACATAAACTTCCACAGTGAACATATTATGGATATTCCTAAATAAATGGATTTCAGTGAGTTCAGTCACTAAATGTTTGTACAGCTGTATTATGAAAGATGGCTGTGTAAAACCAGCCCTGAGGGCACAGAATTTTGTTTGTGAAGAGACAATTTGATAAAAGGTTTCTTCTTTATACCCAATCTCCTATGGAAATACATAGTGTTCACTGTGTGGCCTTCCAGGGAGACTTTTTTGAAGATGACTTCATAGTTTTTTAAAATATATAATATAATATATAATATATTCCTATGATGCATATGTACTAAAGTAATAAAATATGCTGAAATCCTTTACCAGCCATACTGCCTAGTTAAATATAATTTTGCCAGCACTGGATTTAACAATTACAAAGGTGATTTTCTCTTTGTGATTTTCGTCATCCCTATCTTTGGAAAATACATTTTCCACACATCCTTTGAAATAGTCAGAAAATATTCTTATGAGATTCTGCATGTACAGTTATACCTCTGGGATGCAACCCAATAGTCCCTATAGGAAACCCACTCTCCCTGTTGGTTCAAATAGCATCCGAAGTTTGACCTTGAAGATGTCGCTCAAGGCCAGTCTGCTTCATAAACACTTGCCTGAACTGCATCTAAGAGGGCTATAACCCATGTGGATGACGTTAATAATTCATATTAATTCAGCACTATTTAATTGTTTTGCTTAATGAAATAAGCTCACTCGTGTTATACATATGCATCCTGGATAAAAAGATTGTGTGGTTGTCTCTCAAAACAAACAAACAACAACAGCAAAAATAACTTCCCCCTTGGGAGAAGGTATCATAAAGGGGAAAAGATAAAATTTCAATAGAATGTAAGTATATTGAAATAAAATGTTAAAACATTATCAATTATTTGCTGACAATTATAAGTATAGGCATAAATTTTACCTGTATGGAGATAATTCAGCAGTGTGCTGTGTATTAGGTCATTTAAAACAGCTTAGGATTCCGAAGAGCTCATATCAAACTGCCTGTCGTTTACTTAACAGAGTGCTCTAAGGCTACAGCTGTCATTTTCCTTCTGTGTATCCTCCTTCTGTCTCCCACCTCTTCTTTGTCCCCCTCCATTTCTTTCTCTCTACATCCTTTGTTGTTCGTCTTAGGGGTTGAATTAAACACAAACAATATTTTTATGCATCCCATAAACATATGCTGTATATCCAAGGGATACCAGGTGTTTCCAGGACACCACACACCTAAGTAGAAGCTTCTGAAGTGTTGCTTCCCCGCCATGCTGTCAGAGCTGGCATGGTCAAGCTGGCCAAACAGAGTAACTTGTCAGTGCTTAATAAAGCCCTCCTCCCTTGCAGAGCCAAATGCAGCCTTCCTCCTGAGAACTCTGCAGACGATGACATCTCCCCACTTGGTTTCCATAGCATCCATTCCTGAAGAGCCCTAGAAAGGCCCTTGGTCAGGGCTGTGCTCCCAGTTCCCCTAGGAAGTTGGCAAGCTGGCTAGCCAAAAGCAGCATTCTGGGTTCCTGAACTTCCTCTGTCCGTGGTGCTGAAATGCTTAGCTGCGACTCGCGCACACTGAAGGGCGCGGTCAGCTTTTTTGGGAAGACTCCCCTGAGGCTGCCTAAATCACAGCTGTGTGTCTGTTACTCACTCACGTTCGCAAAAAGCAGCTAACCTCAGTCTTAATTCGACTCTGCCACTCTGCCGCAGAGCACACTTACGCCGGTGCGATGGGAGGAGACCACGCTAAGGCAGGAAGCTAACAGCAGCATAGCTCACCTGAGGCCTGAGAAGCTCCCAAGGGTTCTGAGAGCTATGAGCTCTGATCAGCAAAGTCACCGTTTTAGACAGTAGGAGTTCTTTTGCCTTTCCCCTAACACAGAGTTCCGTAGCGTTTCTGATCCCTCTGATTAAAAGCCAGCGGATTTATTGCAATAAGCCTTCAAAACCGGGAATTTGCATTGTTTTTCTGTGAGCTGACTTCCAGAACAAGCACTCCTCAGCAGCACCCGCCCAAATACCACGGCACTGCGCGCGCCCTCGGCCACCGGATCCTCCCCTTCCAATGAGACTTTGTGACTCTGTGTACCAATTCTCCTATTAGGAAGTCCGTGGGCTGCATGCAGCTCTTCGGTTGTCCTTTCTTTCTTGCTCTCTCTCCTCTCTCCAACTCACAGCCTGGCTGGAAAGCTCACCTCTGTTTGCTGAGAAGAAAAAGCCCTACCTTAACCAAGCAAGACTATGCGCAGAACTCGTCTTTCATAGCCATCATAATTTAAATCTGGCAAGGTTGGACACCAGTCTTTACAAGAATGGAGTCGGTAAAACAAAGGATTTTGGCCCCGGGGAAAGAAGGGATAAAGAATTTTGCTGGAAAATCCCTCGGCCAGATCTACAGGTAAGAGAAAGAAGCCCATGCTCACCTGGGGCTCACTCACCATGACAGAGGCCATTTCTGTAAAGCTTGGTTGTTTAACGAGATTGTAGCATGGTGGGAAAGTATTTTTCTTGCTCATTGCTGAATCAAGGCTACATTGAGAATCTGTTTATGAATGCAGGGATGTGGCATTAAATGCACCTGTCGTTTTGTGTGTGTGTGTGTGTCTGTGAATTTGTGTAATTACCTGGGGATTCTCATGTCTTCCAACCCAACTCTTAAGCCTCCTTTACAATCTTGAAATGTCCATTCAACACCTATTCAGAAAGCCTGCTGCTTTTGTTTATAAATTCCCCAAATTTAAATTCTTTTGACCCAGACAAATGAATAACAAAAGCCAAATCCCTTTAAAGAATAAATGTCAGAGACTAATGACAAAAAAAAAAATCTAGGGAGGAATCTCTCATGGGAAATTCTGCATTGAATGAAACAGGATCAAAATCCATCAATACTTGATCAATGATGCTTCTTTCTTGATCCTAAAATGCCATATATACTTGCATATGCATTTTTATTTGTTTGTTACACATTTTTAGGAAACTGTCTCTTGTGTGAAAAATGTCACAAAAATTTAAGAACAAACAGAACCGTAAACTGCAAAATTATTTTGAAAGTAATAGAAAAATGTTTAAATCCTATGCTTTTCATAATCATTCCACTAAGCATACTATAGTTGGTATGATTCAGGTCCTGCTAGATGTGTTATATCTTATATGATATAATTTTTTGTTAGTGCTATAAGCAAAATAAAGGAGACAGCAGAGAGAGTACGAAAGTGGATTTTGAAAAGCATTCATTTTTACATGTGGAAAATGAAGCCTTGGCTTCAGTGAGAGTTGTAACCCAGATGATCAATGTACATCTCTATTTTTCAAGTGGCTTGGTTCGGGTGGGCTTCCGCAGGCACCATCATGCACCTCTGCGGCAGTAGATGCTGCAAGCACCCTGCAGTCTTGCAGCTGTTTGAGACCTCTGTGAGGTCGGAAATTCCGGGTGCAGAGTTCAACTTTGTAAATGTTGGTATACAAAGCGAAGGCGAAATAATCAAATCCATTAAATTTCTTCTTTGTATAAAGAAATGCCTTGTTTCTGGTACTTGGGTTGCATATCTGTGATAAACACCCACGTAGTCTATCCACAGACACATTAATTACCTATTCTGTAGTGGAATTTGATACAATTTGAAGAGAGCTTCAAGTTTCTTGGCAGCCATAGTCCAAGCTATACATGTCAGGAATTGATGTTAAAATTTTACAGGCTTCACGTGTGTGTGTGTGTGTGTGTGTGTGTGTGTGTGTGTGTGTTGCACCATTTAATGATGGGTATAGGATTAAAAGTACCTACAAGAGGGATTGAGAAAAAGTTGGCCAATTGTAAGTGTTGATATATCAAAAATACCAGTCTCATTGAGAGAAAGCTATTAATTTTTAACCTGTTCTCTTACAAAAAGTAGCAATTTTTATGGATGTGGTAGAAATGAGAACAACATCCTCTTTTCTCAGGGCTATTCTAACACTCCAATTCTCTTTTCCTTCCCCAGTCCTACAAGGATCAGAATTGATTGAGAAGAGTCAAATCTTATGAAATAAAATGAGATTTCCTCTTAGTGGTACAGAAGGTGGTGTGGGTGCCCCTTGGTAAATCCGGAAATCAAATTTTCTGTGTCTGGAAATGGGCCCATGATATTTTTCTGTGTGTTGTAGCTGAGATAGTAATGACGCAAGATTGTGACTGATTAATTATTCATGTTGTAGGAAGGAAGCTGAAGTGTCAGACATATGCTGCGGAGGTCTTTGTTTCTAACAGGAGTAAAGAGGAGAGAGAGGGAGGGGGGGAGGGAAGAAGGGAGAGAGAGGGGGAGAGGGATGGAGGGAGAGAGAGGGGGAGAAGAATGGAGGAAGAGAGAGAGAGAGACACAGAGAGAGAGAGAGAGAGAGAGAGAGAGAGAGAGGGGGGGGGGGGGGAGGAGAGGGAGTGATGAAGCAGTTCACCAAGGTAGAGGATTGGGAAGTGTTTGACAGGGTAGGATCAAGGAGATGGTCCTCAAGGAGATGCACCTGGATAGAGTTGTCCCTAACCTGTCAGGCCCTTCTCACGCCCTGGAGTTGAGGAAAGGACCCACAGTAGCCTGGATTAAAGCACCTATGAGCCAGGGAGGGCATCCAGCAGGAGACACTCTTTTCCCAAACCTCTCCCTTTCACCCTGGTGACCTCAAAAGTTCGGGCCAAGGGAATGTGAATGGAGATTAGAAAGATGATAGAACTGGGGTTCCCCAAGTTAGGCCTGAGGGTATTAAAGTGTAGGTGCTTCTGCCCAGGAAGGAGTGTAGAATTTCACACAATTTAAGAGTGCCTAAGCTGTGTATTCCCAGTATTCTAACTAGTCAGAAGAGGTCAGAGACCAACTCCCCAGCTCTCTAGGGTTGAGGAAACTGAATGCTGGCTGAGCTTAGGGCATCTTTGTCCCCTAAACTGTCTGGGGGAGGTGCCTAACAATAGGCATCTTTGCTTCTTAATCTGACGCCTAGGGTACTGGAGAAGAAGCAAGACACCGGTGAGACCATTGAGCTGACAGAGGATGGCAAGCCACTAGAGGTGCCTGAAAAGAAGGCCCCACTGTGTGACTGCACCTGCTTTGGCCTGCCTCGCCGCTACATCATAGCCATCATGAGCGGCCTTGGCTTCTGCATCTCCTTTGGCATCCGCTGCAACCTGGGTGTGGCCATTGTGGACATGGTCAACAACAGCACCATCCACCGCGGAGGCAAAGTTATCAAGGAGGTGGGCATTGGCAAAGCCCTAGAGGGGACTTCCTCCGCTAGCCAGTCACCTGTCTAAGCTTGTTTTCCCCACTGGAACCGAAAGGTTTGCCTGTTGTCTAAACCTTCCCTAGGTCCAACTATTCTGGAAAGGACCACTAGAGTGCTATTATCTCCCTTTTTCCGCTAGGTTCCCAGCCTTTCCTTGCTCATTTGCAAGGCGTAAAATAATGTCTAGCTCACTAGATTTGTGTAAAGAATGACCAGCCAAGAGCTAACAATGTCTGTTAAATCTAAAAAGAAATATTTTTCTTTAACTGGGAAGTGTAGCATCATAAAGTTCCCCTGGCTCCCTTCAGATCACTCCCTCCCAGGAAAAAACAAAAACCAAAAAACTTGTTTTGTTATCTAACTCAAACGAACAATAAGTCCTGCAGTCAAATCACCATATGTATATCAGGTTTGACTAGCAGGTTTAGGGATGGTATAGGACTCTGGCTGAAAGAGAAGATGCTGGGTGGGGGATTTTAAGAGAATGCTCACTGCGGTATTCAATGGTGACACGGTTTTGGGGAGGGCGAGCTGAAGGTCACAGAAATCTATCCATTTGGTTTCAAAACTTGGGATCCTTCTAAGGAGCCAAACTAGAGTCCCTGTCCCCACCCCCAGCCCCGGAGCCCAGGATACTCAGGATATTGTCATTGCAAGAGAAATAACGGAATTCCCGATTACCTGGGCAAGGTAAAAGGTTAGACCTTTACAGTAATTGAGTAACCTGCAGATATTTAGCTCCAGTTTTATGAGAGGCGCATCTTGTGCTGTGGACCAGTGTGGTCTGGGCGCAGTCAAGGCTTGACATTCACACAGCTATGAAACAGAACCTTAGCCGCTGCCCTCTCCCCCCCACCACACAACCTTCTCCAAACTCTCTGCTAGACTGTCCCCAAACTCTTTTGTCCTGCCCACCCAGATTTAGAAGAGACACCCGTTCTGATTCCTTCAAGCCTTCACCCTGCCCTGTGTGCCTCTTGAGGGTTACATTTCATTCTGGGGGTCACCCCACTACTGTATTTTTACTGGCTGGCAACAGCCAAAAAAAAACCTTAACCAATATTCTTTTCGGAGAATCCAAAAGAGGTCCCAGGTTCACTGACCACAGTCCAGTCCGCGAGGAAGCTTGGCAGCCCGTATTTCATCGGGAATCACAACACCTTTCTTTTAAAAGGAGTCCCTCATGTCAGCTGCTCTTTTGTTACAAAACGAAAATTAGGCCCCTGACCTCGGTATTGCAGAAAATGTCCTGCGTGTTTAAAGGTTCAGGGCACACAAACCTCCGAAAGGGAATTAGGAGCGCTGACTCTGCTTTGCCACCCCTGATCTGTTGTTTCTTTGTGGTTTTCCTCTGTTTCTATAGAAAGCCAAATTCAACTGGGACCCTGAAACCGTGGGGATGATCCACGGCTCCTTCTTCTGGGGCTACATCATCACCCAGATTCCGGGTGGATATATCGCATCGCGGCTGGCTGCCAACCGGTAAAGCTGCGGGGAGTCTGTGGTTGGGTCTCCTGGCTCGTATTCGCGCAGGTTCTAGACCGCCTGGGGAGTTTGGAAACTCCCTGGGGGCGTCTCCTTGTCTCTGAACACGCCTCCCACGCTGCAGAACTCCAGTGGAGCCTTGCTGGCTGAAAGGGCTAAGGTTTTTCAAGACCTTCTTTCTACAGGAGTAGGCCAAGGCTTGTTAGAGAAGTGTCCCCATAGTATGCAAC